TAAGAATTGGAAACTTATTTGCTGAGAACATATATGTGGATGTACTTGATTGAGACAATGCACAGTGTATTTTGGATGGAAAATTCATTTGTGTGTTGTGATGGTGTAAAGTGAACTAATAAATTAAAAAAATAAAAAAAAAAAAAGAATTCTCTGGGTGGTAGGAGAGAGGAGAAGGGTAAGGTTATCTTTATCCTGCTATGTTTATAATGGAACCAGGATGATTACAGGTATATAGTGGAAAGGTTGGAGGAAAGAAATTTGACTTCTTTCATTTATACTTTTGAATGATCAAGGTTATTATTATTGAGTTATATTCTATAATTCTTTATGAAAATGTCCATTTCTCAGTCAATGTTTTAGTAGTTAATAGTCTTAGCGGCCATTGACTGTCCTTGCCTGAATCAGTAATTTCATTATTTCAAAAATATTGATTTTTTAATTTCTCTCATTCTTTCTATATTTATGAATTCAAAATTTTCTGTAAAGAGTTTATCTTCTTCAACTGGGGCTATTTCATTAGCTGCTTCTCCAAACTAAATTTCCTGTGTTCTCCATACCATCATGTTAATGCTCTTGCTGTTCTAGTTTGCTTTGTTTTTAGATTTTTGCCATAGGGCTTGTGCACTCACCAGAGAGAGAGAGAAAAGAAAAGTGAGCACTCACTGGAGAGAGATAGGGAAAGTGAGAAATTACCCTCCAGGGGGATGGCCACCCTGCAATCTCTTCTCCATTTTCCTCCCAGGACTTTGGACATGCACATATGCTGGGTGTGTTTTTCAAGCTGCCAGGTCTGGGAAACACGCGCCAAGTCCAGGACTCAAACTGCGCAGTCAGCCATATGGGATCCAATGCCTTAACCACCATGCCTCCTGCTGCCCCCCTAGTTTGCTCTTTTGAGTATGCTCTTATCTCTTCTGTGACTTCCTTTTCTCACAGAGGCTACATGTACTGCCAGTCAGAAAGAGGGAGAAAGCACCCCCCAGTAGGGCATGTCACACTACAATCTCTTCTCCTCCATCTATCTTGATGGGATTTTAGACACACACACACACACACACACACACACACACACACAGAGCTGGCATATTTTTCAAGCCATAGGAGATGGGATTTGAACTGTTATTGGCCATGGGATTCAGCAGCCTTATCCAGCAGACCATGTGGGAGGTGGCCCCATTCCATGACTGACTCATTTACTTTTTATTTCTGTCAAGGGCTCTTTCTCCTAAAGTTTTATGCTATGACTATATTTATATTTCAAAAGAAGGAAAGTAGATGTCTTTGTATTAAATTCCAAATGGAAGTTTAACGTGTATGTTGACATATTTAGGATAAGAGTGAAGTTATCCCAGCCAAAAACTTTGAGAGAGACAACATTTTTCATATTGAAGAACCAAAAGATGGGCAGAAAATTTGGGATAAATGTCAACAGGATTTGATCCATAAAGAAAAACAAACATTTGAGTTCAACAGACCTCATTATCCATTCAGCTGGGAAACTAAAACTGTGAAAGCTCAATATCAGAATTTCCTTCATCAGTTGGCTATTCTTCTGAGTGACAGTGTTGTCCCTATACCAGCCACTGAGGAAGCTGTGAAAGAGAGGATTCAGGAAATCGGTGCAAATGAGCAGTCTTGGAAGTCTGTAAGTATACTGACATAAAAGTTATTTTTTCCATTTTGATTCTTTTAAGGTGTAGGGTTTTGTTTGTTTATTTTTTGGATTTTTGCCATAGGGTGAATGTACTCACCAGAGAGGGACAGAGAGAAAATGAGAAATCCGTCCCACATCCCGGGGAGTTGGCCACACTGCCGTCCCTTCTCCTCCATTCTCTTCTTGGGATTATGGCCACACAAGCACATGTGCCAGGCATGATTTTCACACCTTCAGGTCCAGGACTTGAACTGTACAGTTGACCACATGGGATCCAGCTGCCTTAACTACCACACCACCTGCTGGCCCCTAACATTTTTTTATATAACTTTCTCAGTAGTAATTGAAATGTCTTATTTTTTATATCAAAACTTTTTATGTTCTTTAAGTTTATTTCCTGAAAGAGAAACAGAGAGAGAGAGAGGTACCCTCAACTAGGTCTCACCATACCACAGACTTGAGCACAACTCCCATCCCTCTGTAGACTACAAGCAGTCAGGATTACAGGTATGCCTGGGATCTAAACCCTGGCCTCCCACATGGCTCCAGTATTGCAAATGGGCAATATTGCATAATCCTGTGTTACCATAACTGGGCCTCTATTTATTTTCAAAACCAAATTTTACACATGTCAAATCTTTTGAATAGTCTTCCCTATTCATCTACATAGTAGCTTAATGCCACTACAACGTCAGTATACAAAGAACTTGCACATCGTTTTGAAATTATAAAGTTTTAAGATATTTTTGTTCTTACAGAGAACTGAAAGTCTTTTTTTTTTGAGATGCTCACTAAGCGATTGGAGCATTTGCATCATCTTTATGAAGATTCTGATCAAGAATTATCCCAAACTGAAGAAAAGTATTGGGAACAAAAAAGACCCTTGCAATGTCTGGGAGGGAAAACAGCTATCAGTGACATTTTACAAGGGAGATCAGACTTGGACAGGAAGAAAGTAAGAATTTCCATGGCATCAGCAGGTGGCATGATGGTTAAGGCATTGTACTCCCACATGATCAATTGCAATTCAAGTCCTGGACCCAGGGGGCTGGAAACTCATGCTGGGCATGTGTACATGCGTACCCAAAATCCAAAATCCTGAGAGGAGACTGGAAGAGAAGGGATTGCAGCATGGCTGTCTCTCCTGGGGGGTGACTTCTCACTTTTTGTCTCTCTGTCTCTCTATAGCAAAAATCTCTGAAAGAAAGAAAGGAATTTTTCTGAAGTACGGGCATTTCTTTGACAATGAAAAATGATCAATCTTATTTTATTAAATAACTTCAACATTATCTAATGTCCAAAACTGTTAATATTTTTTATCCTTTTTTAATATTGAAAGAGGGGTGAAATTTTGCTATAATATTTTTTTCAGAGTCTCCCCTCCCCCTTTTGGGCATGCGTGCTTGCTAGAGAGAGAGAGAAAGAGACAGAGATAATGAGAGGGAAAGTGAGAAATCACCCTCCAGAGGGATGACCACGCTGCAATCCTCCAAGTATCTTGTGCATATATGCATACGCATCCAGCATGAGTTTCAAGCCACTGGATCCAGGACTCAAACCACTGTCAGCTTTGTGGAGTCCAGTGACGTAACTGTTATGCCATCTGCAGGCCCCTAACTTATACCTTTGATAGTTGTATAGTATTAGGTCTTTGAGAAAGTCATTAAGTATTTTTCTATGCTTTTCAAGAAGTATTTTTCTGTTTTTTTCTTTTTTTGGGAGAGGTTTTTTTTTTTTTTTTTTTTTTTTTTTGCTATAGGGCGCGTGTGCTCGCCAGATAGACAGAGAGAGACAGAGAGACAGAAAGCCAGAAATCACTCCCCAGGGGGAATGGCCACACCACAATTCCTTCTCCTCCATTCTCCTCTTGGGATCTTGGGCAAGCACGCACACGCGCCCAGCGTGAGTTTAAGCCACTGGGTCCAAAACTGGAACCACAGTCGACTACTTGGGAGTCCAGAGACATAGCCAACACACTAACTGCTGGTCCCTATTTTTCTGTTTTATAATGCAAAATGCGTCATGACTTTCCCAGCAGCCCAATATTTTATAGTGTGTATTTAACTTAGTTCATGCAACCACTACTATATTGTTGGACTATTAAAATATTTCCACTTTTAGTGCCATCACTTTTATTGTCATATTTTATTTTGCTGATTATTTTAATAATGCTTATGTATGATGAAAAATATTTTACTTACATAAGTACTGTCCCTCTTGCAGTTTACTAGTCTAAGTAGTTGCAATACTGTGCTAGTGTAGAACAATATATTACAAAACAATTACCGATTCAAATACTGTTGATTTCTGCAAAGGAAAATGCCAGGAATAAGAATTGTCAGACAGATGAACACAGCAAGAAGTTCAAACAGCTAGAAAAAGATGACATGCAACAAATGTTATTGAGTATACGACAGAATTTGCAGATTGCTACAACACAAAGATTGGAGGAAAAAATTCAAAAACTTCAGAAACAGCTCAGTGATTTGAAATTGTCTAATAAAAATATGAAAACTCAACTGACAAGAGTAAATGTCCTTAAAGTAAGTAAAGGAAGTAAGGCTTTATTTATTTATTTTTTTTAGAGGTTTTTACTTAGGGCTTGTATGTTTGTCAGAGAGAGAGAGACAGAGACAGTGAGAGGGAAAGTGAGAAATCACTGCAAGGGAGGATGGCCACACCATAGTCCCTGATCCTCTAGTCTCCTTCTGGGATCTTGGACATGCACACACACTGCCTGGGTTGGGTCTGGGACTCAAACTGCTGTTGGCCATGTGGGAGTCCAGCAACACGACCACTATGCCATCTGCTGGCCCCCCAAAATAAGAATTTTAAAAATTCACTTAACCTTTCGTTCATTACTATTTTAGCTGCATGTTTCTCATGAAACTTAAAAAAAGTAATATTGAAATTATTTTACCCCCGTTTGAGTCCCAGCCCCAGCAGCTTAAAACTCATGCTGGACGTGTGTGTGTGCCCAAAATCCTAAGAGGAGAATGGAGGAGAAGGGATTGTGGCATGATCATCCCCCTCGTGGGGTGATTTCTTGCTTTCTGTCTCTGTGGTGAGTGCATGTACCCTATAACATAAATCTCCTTAAAAAAAAAGAAATAGTATTATGAATTTCATTGAAGCCCCCATAGGGGGAAGAAGCCCCCTTCTTCCTATTCTTTAAAGGTAACTGATATTCTGAACTTTGTGATCCTAAATCCTTTTTTTTTTTTTTTTTTTAGTTTAGTCTTATATTGGGACATTAGGTAAAAGTTGTAATTTTGTGTTTTTTTTCTTTCTTTTGCTTGGACCTTCTCTATATTACACTTCAGTTATACTATTTCAAATGTAAATTATTATTTAAGCCAAACATGCACAAAATAATTGATGAACTGATATGCCAGTTTATCAGCATATTTCTCTTACTATAAAGCCAGATACTTTCTCTATTTCTGTATTTGTTCAGTGTCAGTTGAGAGACCTTTAAGGACATGGAAAACAAATTAAACCTTTTAAATTCCAAGTTTCCAGTTTACCAAAGTGCTCAGTCATTGTTGGTTATTAATGGGCACGATGATGGTGAGATGTGCTCTTAATTTAGAAATTGTGGAATTATTTTCCATATATCTATCTCATTCAGAAAAAATGAAGAAAGAAAGAAAATCATGGGCATTTTCATGCTTTTCTGTTATTTACAAGAGATTTAATCACAGTTATTTCTCTTTCTCCCACCCTGTACCTTCTCACAGGACAAAACAATTGAGAAGCTCAGGCAATCTTTAACAAAAGTGGAAATAATGAAAGATAAGACAGTTATGAAAACAGACCCCTGGAAAACTACATCAGACTCCGCAGAGCATGAAGCAAGAACAAACAAAGAGAGGGCCCATGAGATGTTAGATGCTGTCCGTCCTGAGCTCCCCACAGCAAAAAGCATACCCAAAGAAGTACCAGGACGAGAACAAGAGGTTTTTTGTTTTGTCTTGTACTATTATATCAAGAATTTAGTTAAAGTGATACATGCTTCAACTTAGACTTTAACTTAGACAAAAGGGAATTTATTGGCTTATGGAGACCAAGACAAATTAAACAACTAAGTCTTTGGGAGGGCAGAGATGCTCCCTGGGCCCCAGGGTCAGCACCTAGAGGTTTCAAGACCTCTCCCACTATTATCTTCTTGGCATCTGTGTGTCATCTTGTCTGTCTGATTGTCAGTTGGTTTTCTCCATGACAGGAAACATGACCACTGACATCCATGGATGTTTGTATTTAGATTCTGTGACATCAAAGAGAATCTCAAGAAATGTTCTTATTGGCCCAGTTTAGGTCAAGTGTCTATCCCTGGTCAATATATAGTGGTTAGGAACGAGAGATATGTTTTAGCTTAGGTTTGCGTACATATCCTTCAACTCACCAATAACCAATAACTAGGAGGGTCATAGGAGAGAATAGAGGCTTTGAGGAAACCATGCCTCTGGGGCTCTTTCATTTACTAAGAGAAGAGGGTAGTGCTACTAAACTTGCTTAGCTTTTCACAATCAAACCATTTAAGAGAATTTTTAAAAAGCTAATGGACAATTTTGGGTGATTGTTAAATTATATGTTACACCTTCATATATTAGTTGTTTAAGAAATTTGAAATTTTTGAGGTCAGATGGTGGTACAACAGTAAAAATCCCTTGTGGAAAAGTTCCCTGTTCAAATTCAGAGACCTCCTTGAGTATGCTGGGCACATGCTTTCTCATGATCATAGTGTCAAGACCCTGTGGGGGGTGCTAGCATTCTCTCTCTGACTCGCTCATGGGAAAAATAAGCAAACTTAAAAAATTTTATGTTGGGGCCAACAGGTGGCATAGTAATTAAGGTCGACCATGGTTTGAGTCCTGGACTCGGTGGCTGGAAACTAATGCAGGGCATGTGTGCATGCATGCCTAAAATCCCAAGAGGAGAATGAAAGAGAAGGGAATGCAGCATGGCCATCCTCCCAGTGAGCACATGCTCCCTATAGCAAAAATCTCTCTCCAAAAAAAATTTATGTCAAAGAAATTTGAAACTTCAGTGAACTCATGATTACTTAAAATATAAAATCATGGTATTAGCATTTCCCCACCATCTCTTCGGTGTCCCTTATTATATTTACAGTCAAATCTCATGTCCTTTGTGCCTTTGTAGTTCACTTTAATTTCTTAGGTGATTTTATGTGTTCTTACTTGAGTTAAATTATCACATCGTCCTCATCCACTAGACCTCTTGGACATCTTTCTTGCCCATATCTATTCTGAATGATAACATTTCTGATTCAAAAGGGAGCTTCCCCCCAGCAGATTCTTATTTAATTGATATTTAATTCACATCTGGTTGTTGTGTCAAATATGTTTTCGGTGCTTCATGGCTGTTTTTTTTTGGGGGGGGAGGGCGTGTTTTTATCACCTGAGCAGTTTGGATGATACTACCCTTCTACTTTCTTCTTAAAGTAATTTTGTATGGATATAATTTGCCATTTATCTCTTTACTTCAAAATCCCCTTAATTGCGGGACCAGCAGTTAGCATAATGGCTATGTCGCTGGACTCCCATGTAGTCAACCGCGGTTCGTGTCCCGGACCCGGTGGCTTAAACTCACGCCGGGTGCGTGTGCATGCGTGCCCAAGATCCCGAGAGGAGAATGGAGGAGAAGGGATTGCGGCGTGGCCATCCCCCTTGGGGGGATGATTTCTGGCTTTCTGTCTCTCTCTCTCTCTGGTTTTCTGGCAAGCACAGGCGCCCTATAGCAAAAACCTCTCCAAAAAAAGAAAAGAAAAAAATCCCCTTAATTGCCGCCTTCTGATGTTTTTACTTTTGGGTAGCTGGAGACAGGGTTTATATAATTAGATTTTTTAAACTCAATACCACCTTCTTCTGTTGGTTGGCACATGAGTTCAGTTTCTAAAGTTTACTAAATTAAGTCTTATTTTGGGGAAGGGAGTTTAAGTGATATTTGATTCAGCAATTCACTCATTTGAGTAAGTCCTTCAATTTCCAAGGTTTGATTTTTTTTTCCTTTTCTTTATTATTGGGCCTCTAAGGAACACCCTTCCAAAAACATCTATTTCCCTCAGAAAGCCAATCAGTTTGTCCTTTAGATCTGTCATTTCTGGTGCGACCCTGCCCCATTGTTTTCCCTTCCTCCCTGCCAGTGTTCTGATCTACCAGGTTTCAGATTTCTTCTTGGTATTTTCCTGTTGTGAACTGTCTGGTTCCTGGTGGTTAGGTTATTTGTGTTTTACACTGGTAGAAATGAGCTGCCCCTCTTGTGGAACTGCTTTTCCTTGTTTAGAATATATTTATTTTCCTACTCACCTGCAAATTGAAGTCTGGGGTATTCTTTAGTTATACTTTAGGCATGATTTATGGGTGGCTTTTATTTGCTTTCCTTGTCAAACATTATAGGGTTTTTTGTTTTTTAAATAATTACTTTATTTGGGGTCAGCAGGTGGAGTGGTGGTTAAGAGCACTGGACTCCCACATGGCCGACCGCGGTTCGAATCCCAGACTTGGCATCTTGCTTTCTCAATTTCCCTTGTTGTCACTCTCATTCTCACTCTGTCCCTTTCTGGTCAAATTAAAATAAATAAAGTTAAATAAAATATTTTTAATTACTTTATTCAATTTCATTTTTTTTTTAATTCTGTGAGAGAGAGAGAGAGAAAGTGAGAAAGCAAGTCACCAGGTCTGAGACTCAAACCATGGTTGGCCATGTGGGAGTCCAATGCCTTAACCACCTTGCCAGCTTGCCAGCCCTCGATACACTATAGATTTTGAAGATGAGTGAAGAGATGTACTTAGGAGACTGCTATTATCAAAAAGCAAATCAGAAGTTCAAAAAGTAATTACCTTATAGATAAAAAATAAAGAGCAGATGGGGCCAGCACGTGGCAGGGAGGTGCAGGTTAAGGCAGCTGGATCCCACGTGGCTGACTGTGTGGTTAGAGTCCTGGATCCAGCGGCTTGAAAAACATGCCAGGTGCATGTGTATGAAAGTCCAAAATCCTGAGAGGAGAGTGGAGAAGGGAGTATAGCATTGCCATCCCCCTTGGAGGGTTTGCTCCCTCTCTCCTCCCTACCCCACAAACACATGTGCCCTATAACAAACTGAACTAAAATAAAATAGAGCAGCAATACAGTTTAGTTTACAAAAGTGTAAAAGTAAGAGAAAAATCTGAAAATGCAAAGGAAATTATTTTTAAATAAACGGTTTTTATAATACAAGAAACCAGTCTTTACTTTGAAGTACTCTTTGTGGAATATGTTACAGTGTAAGATTACAATGTAAGATTACATTTCTAGTATTGATGTCATTACATGTAATAAGTTGGTAACCTAAACTATGGCATATCTTGATTTTTGTGATGATTCTTTATAGCTTGTTGACTTTCGAGAAACTATTATGAAGATGTTGGGATTTAACATGAAAACAGCAGACAAGGAAATCATCAATCAGCTTAAGCTTATAATACAAGTTTATGAAATATCTAACAAACCAAAGATTGCTTCTGATAGTCAGACTGGACAGAACAATGAATAAAGAAGTTTTACTTTTTCATTGCCACCAAAAAGAACTCAGCAGATATGGATGTTTCCTCTAGCATCTTGAATCTGGTTATGCTATGAATAAAATGCACTGGAAATTTTTCACTTAAAGCTGTCCTCTCCTATTATTTTCGGCATGTAAGTGTTTTTTGTCATAAACATATTTACAAATGTATTTATGGTCTAGTCTGGATTGTTATGTATAATATGTAATATTTATCTAAGGACATTTAATTATTAACTATTTTAAGCATGATGTTAATGAGAAACTTGTTCTCTTAGTTGCTGGACTCCCATGTAAGTCAACTGTGATTTGAGTCTCATATTACCAGCAGCTTAAAACCCACACCGGGCACGTATGTATGCCCAAATCCTGAGGAGAATGGAGGAAAAGGGATTGTGATGTGGTCTTACCCTAGGGGGTTATTTCTCATTTTCTGTCTCTCTGGTGAGCACACACACCCTATAAGCAAAAAATCTCTCTCAAAAAAAAAAAAAAAAAAAGAGAGGGAAGAGAGAGAATGTAATCAAGAAATATTATTTATTTATTTGTTTTTCTTTTTTAATGTGCCATAGGGCACATGTGCTTGCTAGAGAGAGAGAAAGTGAGAAATCACAATCCCCCCAAGGGATGGCTACTCTGCAATCCCTCTCCTCCATTCTTCTCTTAGAATTTTGGGCACACAAACACACATCCAGCATGTTCTCCAAGCACACAGTATTCCATATAGGATCCAGCTGCCTTAACCTCTGTGCTACCTGCAAGAATGCATAAATTTGCATAAATTTCTGGAAATTTACATAATTTTGCAGTAGTCTGGATTGAGTGTTTTTTAATTTTTCTAGAATTTAGTAAGTGCCTGCCAGTGTTTTCCTAATGGTGGACCAATCTCTAAGGTAATATAGACCTCCTTAAAAATAATTTTTTAAAAGAATTATTTATTTAATTTTATTATTTTCATTTTAAATTTTTGTTATAAGGCACATGTACTCACCAGAGAGAGACAGAGAGAGAGAGGGAAAGTGAGAAAGCAAGTCACTGGGTCTGAGACGAGAACTGAAGTCAGCTGTATGGGAGTCCAGTGCCTCAACCACCACACCACCTGCTGGCCCCTAAAATAGTATGATTTCTTTTCTTTTTTTTAATGAATGATTTTATTTATCATTATTTATTTATTTATTTATTTTAATTTGTTCAGAGAGACACAGAGTGAGAGAGAGAGAGAGAGAGAGAAAGTAAGAAAGCAAACCACCAGGTCTGGGACTCGAACTACAGTCGGCCAAGTAGTAGTTCAGTGCCCTTAACCACCATGCCACCTGCTGGCCCCAAAATAGTATGATTTCTAATTTATTTAATTTAAAATGGAAAACTGTTTGCTTTCCAAGGTAGTTTTAGATTTACTCAAGATGCCTTCTTCCGGAACAAGTCAGTATCTGCACAGGCCTGCAGAGCTGGATGCTGCTGTGTTGATTTCTCTTAGTCGGCTCAGTTCACACGTGCTTCGGTATGGGAAGGATCAGGTGACACTGGGTCTTACAGAAGCCGCATTTTGGAGCCTTATTTTGGAACAAAATGATGATCTTTAATACTAACCTCATTTACTTTCAAAATGGTCACTGACATGATTTCCAAACTGTATCCCCAGTGAAAGGCGGGGATCATATTGTGCCATGGAATATTTAGAACTGTAAAGGGAAACAGCGATACTTGACATCTTCAGGAAAGTACATGAAGTAGTTTATAATTTTGACATTAGAACACTCCTCATTCCTTTTGATGATGTAGTTTTGTGATGAAACATGCCCAAGGCTCCTCAGGACTTGTAAATTTGGTGCCGAGTAAGATTCAGTTGGTATCACTACCAAGAAAATTAACTCGCAAATGTGGGAAATAAAGCACTCTTTC